CTACCAGGCTCATTCTTTCCTTTTATCTTCTTGAAAAGGTTTGCATTATGCAAGTTGGTGATCAGGACCCCAACCTGCAAATATCCTTTAGTCTGACATAAAAACCTCACATTTCACATAAAAACCTCCGATTCCTTTTGCTTCTCAACAAATGCAAACAAATTCCATTGCATGCCTCTCCGGTCCGAAGGGAGTTCCTGCCTGATACCAGAAAAACCTATTCTGCCCATTGCTGCCCACTGAATGATCCTTCATGGAAACGGCACCTCGGGCCCCTGAGGAGGTGCCCTGGCGGTGCAGTGGTTCTGCATTGGGCCACTAACCCCAAAGTCAGCAGCTCAAAACCACCAGAAGCTCTGTGGACACAGGCGCGGCTTTCTACTCCAACAGAGTGAGTCTCAGCAACCCGCAGGAGCAGTTTACGGTGTCCTACAGGGTCCCTATGAGTTGCAGTGGGCTCAATGCCACTGAGTTTGGGGGTTTGGGGGAGGGCATCCGAGGACCAGAGGAGGGACGCTCTTCAAGGGCAAGGCTTCAAAGTCAAGATGTTATCTACTCATCCAGGTGGGAGGGGCTTGGTTTTCTTGATATTTTTATAAGTTTTACTGGCACATATTTACATATCATCCAATTCAACAGTTCAATCCTATGGAGTGCAATCATTACCATATCAATTTCAGAACATTCCACCGCCCACGCCGCCCCACGGTTGCATGGCGGTTGAACTAAGCTGTGTAGCCCCTCCCAGGGCTCCCTCCCCTTGGCTCTCTCGGTTGGATTGTCGTTCATAGTGAAAGCTGTGTGTGGTCTTTGATCTTCCTCACTAAGTGCTTCAAGTCCTCTTGGCTTTCTTTAAGTATGGTTGTGTCACCTGCATATTGTTACTACTAAGCCTTCCTGCAATTCATAGTGCAGCTTCTCAGGTGATTTGCTTAGCATACAGACTGAACATGTATGCTTACGGAATGTACTCCATGCACCCCTTGTCTATGTACAGATTCTTCATGAGCACACCTGAGCTATTCTCAATGTTATATACGAGGGGTTACCCCCTCCGAAAAAAGGGAATTGCCGCTGGGCAGGGCAGAGCTTTCGTAGTACGCATTTTTCCCGCCAGGCGGCCATCAAGCAACCGCTCTGAGCTAGTGCGCCCAGTGGTGTTGCCTGGGAAGGTTCTCTGGTCACGTAAATATATTTCTTGTGGAAGGAGTTTCACTCGAACCTCATTTGCTGATCCTGACTTGTGGTAGCTTCTTGACTTCCCTAATAAACCCCTTAATAGTGAGTACTGAGTGCTGCCGGACCACCGCATCAACTTCTGGACCCCCAACATCGATGTAGTGGCGTGGGAGGGGGAGCCGGTGACAGAATGGGTAAAGGAGGCCCCATGGACGCCTGTCTGACCCCTCTCTGTGGCACCAGGGAAGCCAGAGGCGGTCAGACAGGGTTTCCATTGCCATTTAGTGCAAACGGTATATTCAGTCAACTTTTAAAAGAACCAAATAGAAAAGGCATCTATGTTTTAAACCTTCACCAAACTCATAAAAAGTCAGAAAAAAAGAAGACTTTTTATAAGTGTCGCTACTAGCTGCTCGGTTAGGTCTGGCTCGTGGTGGTCATATGTCCAGCAGAACAAAATGCTCCCTCGTTCAGCACCGAATTCTACAAATCACATTTAGGTCTTAGGTTCATGACAGGAGGATTCAACGGAATCCCCGAAACTGTGTGGAGGGGGCTTCAGGTCACCTGGACGCCAGAGGCCACGGCTCGGAACAGAAGAGAGCCCCAGGTCCGCTCAGCTCCCGTGCACGAAGGTGGGGCCCGCGCTTCTGAGCGGCAAGGCGCGTCTTCTGAGTACTGGAGGATGCTGTAGGTGAGCTCTGACTCAGTGACCCGACCCGCTTCACGACTGCTGTTGGAGCCCGCTGCCACGGCCACTCTGTCCATCCCACTCTGTCGCTGGCCCTCTCCATTACGAAGCTTCGTTTCCTTTTCCAGGGACTGGTCTCTCCTGATAGCCTGTCCACAGCATGTCAGACAGAGTCTATGAGTAAAGTCTCAGCACCCTGGCTGCATTTCTTCTGAGAGTGATTTGTTTGTCCTTGAGGCAAAAGAATCTCTCGCTGCCATCAAGGCCATGCTGACTCATAACAATCCTGCTTCCAAGACAAACTCTTTACAGGAGAAGAAAGCCCAATTTTTCTCCTGAGGAGCTGCGGTGGTTCAAACATCCGACCATGTGGATCATGGCCCAACACATAACCACTACACCACCAGGGCTCCTTGGCAAAAGAAAGAGTCCCTTGAAGTATCAACTCAAAATTTATTCAAGAAACACACGTCACTCAGCCCAGAATGGTTACCTTCCCATGGTTTATGCTGGGAGGGATGGGACAAAGTTTGGTTACAGGTTTGAATAGTTGAAAAAGAACTGAAACCACAGACTACCTTGGGTGTGAGATGGCTAAAAAGCAGTTGTTTCGGGATTTTACAACTCTGACGAGGGCAGAGGTGAGGAGATGTGCAGAAGGGGCAGAAACAGCAGGCTGAACGAGAGGAATAGGGGGAGGAGGGTACGGAGGGTCAGAAAACAATCAAATATGAGGCCGTGAGGAGGAGGACCCCAACGAGAGCAACAAGTCCACAGAGAGGCCCACATGGCCGGCCCCACTGTGAGACAGGACGCCCCTCACTGACCCATGGCCCTGCGGCCCCACTGTGAGACAGGACACCCCTCACTGACCCATGGCCCTGTGGCCCCACTGTGAGGACGCCCCCCCATTGACCCATGGCCCTGCGGGGGACAGCACCGGAGACAAGGTGTACAAATTGCGCCCGATCTGACCCCGCCACACTGAGGCAAAGTACTAAGGGCGTGCAACAGAACAGCAAGGGAATGGAGCAGCGAGGTCCCCAGGGAATGCTGAAGGTGGACTTTGGGGCCAGGGCGTGGTCCCCCAACAGACTGGACTGGAAAACACTCCTAAAGGCCAACAAACGATCCTTGAACTAACTACAAACTTTTCTTTCTTGTTTTGTGTCATTGGTTTGTTCTTGTTTTGTTGTATATTGTTGCTTGGTTTTGCTCTATCTTGTTCTTGTGCATGTTATTATCTCTGCAGGTCTGTCTATATAAGATAGGCTGGATGAACAATCTGGAGGAGAAAACAACAGGACCAACAGTTCCGGGGGGACATGGGAGAAGGGGAGGTGGGGGGGGAAGGCAGTGGTGTTAACAAACCCAGGGACAAGGGAACA